GTCTGTGCCACTATTTTCTGGCCTCTATATCTAGTGGCTGTTCTGTTCTCTGACCCCAGATAAGTTTATTAGGGTACACAATATTTTGGGGAACACAAAATCACCACATCCTGCCTTTGTAAATATTTTTTGTGTGTATGAGTGTTTGGGATGTATTGGGGCCTGGAGGATTAGACTCCAGAAAGCCCAGGGCTAGAAAGGAATCCATGGCATTGACATAAACTAAGACTTTTCTATCTGAGGGGTTTAGGGAAAAAGACACTCACACACTCTGTTGACGGTTTCCTTCAGACCTTTTCTTTATTCTTCTTTTGCATTCTCTATTTCTTTATTTTCCTGGTGATTTCCTTCTCTCATTCTTGATGTATTTCTTCTAACTCTATCTTTATTCTTGATATTTCTCTTCTAGCTCCTTCTAACACTCTTGTTCTTGATGTTTTCCTTCTAACTCTATTCTTAATATTTTCCTTCTAGCCCGTTTTAACTCCCCTTTTCTTACAGCTTATGTACCACAGCAAAATCTTTCAGGCCATATAAAAATTACAATGTGGTTACATTCATTCTGTTTTTCAAGTGAATTATTACAATGAATACAAAACAAACAGTAAAAAACAGCATGTTTTCCATATCCCTTACATGACTAAACACTTCATGCATTACAGGTGAAAAACAAATTATCCCAAGAACCCACACACATTCATACCCAAGCAACTTGTTATAGATTAACCATGTAGGCAAGTAAGTATTTTTCTCAGTCAAGTCTTTTACTGGTAGGCTGCAGTTTTGCAGTTACAAAGAAAGGTCTGATTACTTTATTACTTACCTTGAAAGGTAATCATACAAGGAATCTTAAAGGAATCACAAATCTAAACTTTTATATATGAAAAAGAATCAGTCAGCTCTACTTTAAATCTTTGGGGTGCATACTCACTCATCAATAGTTTCTTATATCAGGAGATTGAGGGCAGAAGTGGTCACAAGGAATTAATCATCATCTTTGATCTCCAACCAAACCTAGCAAGGAAAGTACATCAGCTAGTAATACTTGGGCTGCTTTGTATTTTTTACCCTAACCTAATGAATCTATAACGCAGCTATGTGTCCTTGTGAATGTTAGATTGTTTTCTTCTTAAGGCTAATATCAAAACATCTGATTTAACTTGAAGTTATTTTGAAGCTTTGTGTCGGCTCATGGTGCACACCAAAACCTGTGACTAAACCTGTGACTTTGTCCTTCAGCATCAAGATTAAAGGAATTTGAGCCAATCTGGCTCCTGGGACTCAATTGTTTCTTTTAATCATTAAGTTAAGCTATGATCTATGCAGGTCCTTAAATGAAACCCATAGGCTCTAGTTGTGTAACATTTCTTTGTATTTATTTTTATTCATCAAACTATAAGCTATCATTACTATTATTATCAAGTAGACAGTACAGCTTAGGAAGGAATCATCTTCATAGTAATCCACAGGTAAAAATGCCCAGTAGAATGAGATGTTTCCATGACATAAACACACTGCATTACAGGCAGTGGGGATCTCCCCACACCCATTCACACCATGCCAGATACCAGAGAAAGATGGCAGCAGCAAACATGTAAAGGCACAGCAGAAGCAAAAGACATTCCGGGGTCTGTGGCCTTGGGACCTTTCCTAATTGAGATTGACCCATCAGAGAGTTTCCTCCTGGTAGGCTCACACCTTGGATTTCAGTTGCCACCTGCTGCTCCTCTGACACAGCCACATGTCTATCTGTGTACCATATGCATGCCTAGTATCCTTGGAGGTCAGAAAAGGAGTCTGACCCACTAGAACTAGAGTTATAGATGGTTGTTAGCCACTGTGTAGGTGCTGGGAACCAAACCCAGGTACTCTAGAAAACAGCAAGTGTTTTTTTTTTAATATTAATTTATTTTATTATATTTTATCATATATCCTGATATCAGTTTCACCTTCCTCATTCTCTCAGTCCCTCCCCCTCTTTTCTGCCCCTCCCTATTCTTCCTCCATTTCTCTCCAGAAAAGGGCAGGTCCCCCATGGATATCGACAAAACATAGCATATCAAGTTGCAGTAAGACTAAACACCTCCCCCTCATATTAAGTCTGGGCAAGGCAACCCAGTATGAGGAATAGGATCCCAAAAGCTAGCAAAGAGTCAGAGACAGCCCCTGCTCCCACTGCTAGGAATCCCACAAGAATACCATGTTACAAAACTGTAATATATAGGCAGAGTGCCTCGGTCAGTCCCAAGCTGGCTCCCTGGTGGTTGGTTCAGTTTCTGTGAGCTCCTATGAGCCCAGGTCAGTTGATTCTGTGGGTTTTCTTGTGATGTTCTTGACCCCTCTGGCTCCTATAATCCTTCCTCCCTCTCTTCAGTAGGATTTCCCTGGCTCGGCCTAATGTTTGACTGTGGGCCTCTGCCTTTGTTCCCACCAGTACAGCCAGTGTTCTCAACTTCTGGGTCATCTCTCCAGTCTCCCTCTTTTCACTTTTTATTTTGAGACAAGGTCTCACTAAGTCAAGATGATCATTTTGTTTCTTTCATTCTTTTGCCTATTTATATGGTAAATTATATTTATTCACTTACATATGGCGAACCATCCCTGCATCTCTGAATGAAACTGACTTGATCATGGTGGATGATCCTTTTATGTGTTGTTGAATTCAGTTTGAAAATATTTTCTTGAGAAATGTTTTATTAGTTCTTTGAGAATTTCATATTTTGATTGCATTCTTTGGCTCCTCCAACTCATCCCATATCTACTCTCACTTCCCTAACCATCCAACTTTGTGTCTTCTTTAAGTCCAAACCCAATTTGCACTGCCCAAATACTCTTTGATATATGGCCGTCCATCAGAGAATGGTCGAATTACCAAGAGTTACACTCTTATAAACAACTAACTGACTTGCCTCTCTCAGTAACTATTAACTGCCAATAGCTCCATGACTAAGGGTGGTGTTCTATGCTTAACTCCCCTATCTGTGTTGGAATTAGTCTGTTCCGGGATTGTAAATATATTATACATAGTGTGACAACTACTGAGTTCATATGTGCAGCTCCCCTGCTGTGTCCAGAAGACAAAGCTTCTGGCTCTTACATTCTTCCTATCCCCTCTTCCACAATGAGCTTTAGGAAGAGGGGATGTGATATTCATGTCCCATTTAGGACTGAGCATTTCACAGTATCTTGTTTTCTGTACCATGGCCAGTTGTGGGTCTCAGCGTTAATCAACATCTACTGTAAATAAAAACTTCTCTGATGAGGGTTGGGAGATGCATTAATCTATGTGTCATTAGGGGTTAGTTTTATTTAGTAAAATAATAATAGTAGGTTCTCCCTCTAAAGCCTATGACCTAGTTCGTCATATGTTCTTAGCCCTGTTAATGGTGCAGGTATAGCTTTCAACTGTGGATTGGGCCTTAAATCCAATAAGAAAATGATTGATTACTCCCATGATATTTATGCCACCATTGTATCAATGAGCATGTCTTTCCATATTGGTTATTACTGTTGCTTGCAGGTTTCTCAGCTGGATAAAACTGATTATTATTTTTCTCTCTTAGTACTCTGCAAAACATCTTCCAGTACTATGATAGCTATCCAGTAAGGATGAAGCTTCCAAATGAGTACCAGCTTGATTTCCCCATGATCTATGACTCAAGTATGTGGTATCTTAAGCAATACGGTCTTATGGTCAAGTTCTGGAGGATAGCCAAGATAATTGCAATAGCCTATCATGTTGGGGGGGGGGCTATGGGGTCTCATTGGCCAACAACCCTAAAAGAGGTAACCCATTCCAGGCACTGGACTTTTAATTGTTAGCCTGCAGTATCCAGTAGAGGCATTTTCACCCTGTTGTAGGATAACTCCATTTTAACTCTGATCATGTTCATTGCTGCTCTAGTCACAATATCCAGGAAATGGAAACAGCCTAGATAGATGTCCATCCAATAATGAATGGATAATGAATGGATAATGAAAGTGTGGCATATTTGCTCAAACCTAGGAAGACAAATGTTGCATCTTTTTGTTCATTTGTGGATGTTAGTTTTGAATCTTCACATACATACACATTAGACATAATAAACGAGTTTTGTACAGTGGCAGAATAAATCATAGAAAGGTCCTTTGCAGTTCCATAGAAACAGAAACAAATCCATGTCTAAGAATCTTAAAACACAAAATATTTAAGGGTAAGAGTCTGATGCACTGTTACCAGGAAACTGAACTGGTACAACTATTACATAAACCAGTACAGAAGCTCCTCCAAACACTGGTGATAGCATTACATATGATGTAGCAATCTCACTTTGGGATATATAGGCTGAAACATAAAAATACTATCACCTAAAGACAACAATACTCACGTTCTTTGCAGTATCACTCACAAAAGCGAAAGCTTGGAAACAACCTATGTGTCAGTGGATGAATGGATCACAAATTTTTAATACCTATCTCCGTGTATTAGATACATGTAAACATCAGTCCATCATAAAATGAACATCCTCTAATATGCAACAATGGATGAATGTAGAGGGTGTTTGTCTGTGGGAAGCAACAAAAGAAGGATCAGTATATATGATCTCATTTATAAATGACATATGAAAATGTAAACCTCAGGAATTAGAAGAATCTACAGCTGTAAGGGGCTGGATGTTGGGATCTATGACATGTAGACAAAAGGGTACACAGTGCCAGATAAAATAAAAGTAAATACTGAGGGCCCAAGGTACAATAGAGTGACAATGGTTAACACCATGCTGTGTATCTAAATTTTCTTCAAAAGCTCTTAAGTGTTCTTAACACACACACACACACACACACACACACACACACACACACACACACACACACAAAATGGCAACTATGTTAAGTAATGGATGGTTTAACCTGCTTTGGATAATTATTTCACAGTAATATATATAAATATATATATATATATATTTATATATATATCAAACCAGACACCATAACTTAAATATATAAAATTTTATTTCTCAAGTACATGTTAATGAAGCCAAACTAAGAGAGAGTGAGAGAGAAAACAGATAGATGGAAAGAACATATCACACAATTGTGTGAGTAAATGAAACCTTGAGGGGTAAATGAAAATCCATGTGTGCACAAAAGGGTCACTGTGTAGTCTCTGGTACATGGGAAATTCTAAATAAAAGATCATTTTATGAAGGAGTAAGTGGATGAGTAAATAAGTATATGTAGGCCAGTGTTCTCATATGTATAGCCATTGCCTCCTATCTAAATTCTATGGACATCTCTTCGACAAGAAGATCTTTCCAGGTGTCTGTGTAATGCTAGATAAAAATGCAATCCCATGTCCATGGAGAATGCTTGATTCATAAGTATATTTTCTTCATCTGACAAACTGACTTCTGTTTACCACTGCAAAGGACGTCATTCCAGCCCCAACTCCTACCCCGATATTTTATTGTGACACATTGTTCATCATCATAGTTGGGCTCACCTGGATGCCAGAACCTGGAAGGGAGGAAAGAGCGTCAGGGTGTTTCCCACAGTGATGCTGGGAAAGAGAAAACAAGAGTAAACAAGTCTCAGGATGCGAATTTGTGGAAATTTGGGAATTTGTGGAAATCAGATTCAGGTGTGTACAAACCAACCGTTCTCCACCACCCATGTCTGACATGTCCCTGAAAAGAGGGTCCACTGCACTCAATATTCTCTTAGTTTGTTACTTAACTGCTCTTCCAGAACACATCCCGGAGCCTACTTTATTCCTAGGTCTTGGTACCCAGGGACTGTCATTCCATGTGCTTATATGGTGAAAGGTCTCTCCTTATTCTTGTGTTTTAATAAAGTTTTTTTTTTCCATTTTACAATAGTCTTATTTTAGAGACTGGAAAACTACTTAAAATATCTAGATAATCTACTTCTTTCTAATATCTAGGACAAGTAATTTAACATCCTCGATTCCTACTTTTCTTCTCTGAATACTGAGAATGAGAATAAAATTACTACCTATATCTCACAACAGAAATCAGGATAGAATATGGGAACATACTAAGATATTAGAGTTTTTAAATAATTACATAAATACAACAAAAGACAATATCAGAATGTGGGCTTTTGATTCATGAGAAATAATCAGTTATTATCAGGACTCCTCTAGGTAACTCTAGACTCTTGATGTTAATTTTTATTATAACACTATAAATGAGAGCTGGGGAGATGACTCAGACATTAAGAGTGTTTGTGTTTTTCCAGAAAATGGGAGAGTTCTGTTCCAGCACCCATATTGCCATGGTCACACCACCTGTAATGCCAGCTCCAGGGAATCCAACACCCTCTTATGAGCTCCATGGGCACCTACATACACATGGCACATACTCACAGAGAGACACATATATACACACAAATAAAAATAAATTAAATCCTGCTGTTACATACATACATGAGAGAATGCAAGCATAATAAAACCCACCATGGTGTAGCACCTTGGTTGGGTGCCCTGGGTACTTATGCTACACTCTTCAAACTCAATTTCCTCATCTCTCCTGGAGTATCAGTGACATGTGTCTCACAGGACTCCTTGATGAGGAAATGGGGATAAAGTAACTCCATCCCCAGCACTCACACCAGGAGTGAGCTGTTTTAGTTTCATAACCAACAGCTGGAACACCCTAAAGTCTTCTCATGCTACAGGACCCAGGACTCCTCTAGGTAACTCTGGACTCACGTGGCACTTTCATTGTATGGTGTCTGATCAACCCATCGCCACTGTCGGTGACCTGGATCAGAAAGGCCAATATAATAATCAGCATTAGGATCCAGGATCTTGGAGATAAAATCCTAAGAAGAAAGAGTGATAAAGCATTCAGCCTAGACGGAGTGCTTCTTTTTCCATTACAGAATTTCTATAAGATCTTTTAAAAGTTATTTTAACTATACAAAATTATAGGTTCAAGATGATGTACATATGGAAATATGTGATAATCAAATCCTAGTTCATCTCTCTAGCCCATTAAATAATTCTAAAATTATAGATAAATACACATTAATTATACATTTTAGTGGTACACTGTGATACTTTGATTGACTTTCTTCTGGTCACACAGAGATGAGAAGACATAGAAAGGATAAAGGAATAGAAGAGCCACCCCCAACCCCAGGAGTGCCATCCTCTCCGGCTGACCAGGACACAAAGTCATCAATCTGAGGCCTGATTTCCATGACACTGAAAACAATCTCTGTCCATGATCATAATGAATTCTCATTTCAGACGCACTCCCCTCTTTTCTTCCCCAACACCATTCTTGAAAGTTGTGCAAGAGAGAATTTAGCAGATTTAATAATTCTCCATTCATAACCTCAGATATTTCATTTCTGATGGCTGGCTGTGACTCTCCTGATTTGATCTCCTTTCCCTAGTCAGCTCTGTGCCTTCCTCTGTTAGGCAGATGATACTACAGGAAGCATTAGAGTGCTGAAATCACAAACTAGTCTTTCAAGCAGAAACATTTCATCCTACCCTCCACCCTCAGGCATTGCATTTCTGTTGCCATGGTTCCTTGTGGATTGATCAGCTTCACTGAAGCAGGGTCAAGGTGTAGAATGCCAAGGCAGGAAAAGATGCTTCTGCCACATCAGCAACACCCATGTCAACAAAACTCCCTCTTAGTAAAAAGAGGCAGAGAGCAGGCCAGGCCCAGGCCCCACTCTCTCCCAGGATGCACCTGCTCTTCCTGGCTGTGGACCACCATCAGATGAGCACCCATGCTGGAGCACTTCTCCTCACTTTCTCTCCAAGATGCTGGGCCAGTCACAGTGACGTAGCAGTGGGAACTAAATGGCTTCCAATCCTTTGGGCAACAGCTCCAGACTTTGTCTTTGGGGGAAGAAGGAAATGTAAGTGCAATGTCATAAAGCCATTTTAAAATCTGCCTGGTGTGGAGACCACGTGGAAGCTGGGACTCCTCACTTCTCCAGATACACAAGGAGACCCTCCCATTTCAGGTGCCAAGCAACCCAAGTCTACCTCCGTCTATACTAACATCAGGGCCCCTTTGTCCTACTGGGGTAATGTCAGGAAAAGCCAGGAAAACAGAGTGTCATGGACATCCAGACACTGAGGACACAATGCCAAACTGTCTGTGTCTTTAAATAATAGAACTCATCATACCAAGAACCAGAAAATTTCATAATATTATATATTTTACTTAAATAATACATGTCAATAAACATGTCAGCAAAATTCTGATAGATTTTTAAATTAGTGATGATAAAAATACTTCATAAAAATATTACAAAGATTCTATAAATGAATGTAAAATTGAATGCCTCATGAAAGTAAAAAATATAAAAATCCAATGTGTGTAAATATAAGTTTTTTCTTTTTGAAAACATCATTTTAATCATCGAATAGTGTTCCCTTGCAACATATGAATATATTTTTAACAGATCCCCTTTTTGCCAATTACTTAGGGCATTGCTTTTCTTTAAACCCCTATTAAGAATAACAGCATCAGATCAACCTTGTCTACACTAGTTAATTGTGTCCCGGGGAAGAATTTTAGAGAATAAATTGCTGGGTCAAAGGATCAAATGTGTTGTAAATATAACTCTTTCTATGTGTAATAATGTGTTTTTCCATTTTATAATTGAAAAAACTGATGGAATAATCTTTTTTAAATGCAGTGGTTATAGCAGAATGGAGGTGACAGAGAAATCAGGAGAAAAAAATCCATACAATGGAAAAAAGAAAGCATCTTCAAAAAATCTTGTTGGAATAACTAGATATCAACATGTAGAAGATTGCAAATAGATCCATATCTGTCACCATGCGTGAAACTTAAGTCCAAGTAGATCAAAGATCTCAACATAAATCCAGTTACTCTGAACCTGATAGAAGAGAAAGTAGGAAGTAGTCTTGAATGCATTGGCACTGGAGATCACTTCCTAAATATAACACCAGTAGCACAGAGATTGAGAGAAACAATTAATAAATGGGACCTCTTGAAACTGAGAAGCTTTTGCAGGGCAAAGGACATGGTCAATAAGACAAAACGTCAGCCTACAGAATGGGAAAAGATCTTCACCTACGCCACATCTGACAGAGGGCTGATATCCAGAATATATAAAGAACTCAAGAAACTAGACATCAAAACACCTAACAGTTCAATTAAAAAATGGGCTTTAGAGCTTAACAGAGAATTCTCAACAGAAGAAGCTCAAGTGGCTGAAAGACATTTAAGGAATTGCTCAACATGATTAGTCATCAGGGAAATGCAAATTAAAATGACTCTCAGATACCATCTTATACCTGTCAGAATGGCTAAGATCAAAAATACTGAAGACAGCTTATGTTGGAGAGAATGTGGAGCAAGGGGAACACTCATCCACTGTTGGTGGGAATGTGAACTTGTACAGCCACTCTGGAAATCAGTATGGCGGTTTCTTAGAATATTGGGAATCAATCTCCCTCAAGACCCAGCTATACCACACTTGGGCATATACCCAAGGAATGCTCAATCATACCACAAGGACACATGCTTGACTATGTTTATAGCAGCATTATTTGTAATAGTCAGAACGTGGAAACAACCTAGATGCCCTTCAACTGAAGAATGGATAAATAAAATGTGGTACATATACACAATGGAGTACTACTCAGCAGAGAAAAACAATGACATCATGAGGTTTGCAGGCAAATGGATGGAACTAGAAAATATCATCCTGAGTGAGGTAACCCAGACTCAGAAAGACAAACATGGTATGTATTCACTCATAAGTGGATACTAGATATAAAGCAAAGGATAACAAGACTGCAACTCACAGCTCTAGAGAGGCTAGCTAGGAAAGAGGACCTTAGGAAAGACACAGGGATCACCTAGAGATGGAGAAATGGATGAGATCTATATGAGCAAACTGGGGGTGATGGGAGGTAATGGAGGGCAAAGGTCGGGGGAAAGAGAGCTTAGGGGAGTGGAAGGTCATGGCTGGATCAGGAACAGAGTGGAAGAACAAGGAAAGAGTTACCAAGATAACTGAAGACACCACGGGAATAGGAAGAATCAGAGTGCTAGAGAGGTCCCCAGGAATTCACAAAGATGACTCCACCATAGACTACTGGCAATGGTCAAGAGGGTTCCTGAGCTGACCTACTCTGGTGATTGGATGGCCAAACACCCTAACTGTCATGATAGAACCTTCATCCATGATGAGGAAGCATGACTGATGGAAGCAGATGCAGAGATTCATGGCCAAGCCCCAGGCTGAGCTCCAGGAGTCCAATTGATGAGAGAGAGGAGGGATCATATGAGAAAGAGATATCAAGACCATGATTGGAAAAAGTACAGAGACAACTAGCCAAACTAGTGGAAACACATGAACTGTGAACCAATAGCTGAGGAACCCGCATGTGACTGGACTAAGCCCTCTGGATAAGTGAGACAGCTGATTAGCTTGAACTATTTAGGAGGCCCCCAGGCAGTGGGACCAGGACCTGTCCTTGATGCATGAGCTGGCTTTTTGGAACCTAGGGTCTATGCTGAGACACTTTGCTCAGCCTTGGTGCAGGGAGGAGGGGACTGGACCTGCCTCTGCTGAGTCTACCAGGCTGGGCTGACTCCCCAGGGGAGACCTTGCCTTGGAGGATGTGGGAATGGGGGTTGGGTTGGGGGGCGGAAGAATGGGGGGGTGGGAGGATGGAGGACAGGGGAATCCATGGTTGATATGTAAAATGAATAGAAAATCACTTAATAAAAAGAAAAAAACAAACAAAAAAAGAAATTTAATTAAATAACAGAGACAAAACAGAAATTAATTAATTAATTAATTAATTAATTAATTAATAAAAATACAGTCTACCATCATGGTCCTTAACTACCTATACCAAATAAGAGATGCCTAAAATGTATGAACAATAAAGCAAAGAATTGAGAAACACATTGTGGAAGATACACAGAGTTATATTCACACACTCATATATATCCCTATGTGCATGTATGGATACCAAGAATGTCAGAGATGAGAAATCAGTCACAGAACAGGAGGAGATAGAAAAACGAATGGCCAGATCATGCAGTGTTAAGTGAAGAACTTAGAAATTACATTTTTAGTGGTAAATGTAAACAAGGCTCATATGACAAAGAGTATTGTGCACCATTATGAAGAACTTGGATAGATATAGACAGATACATTATTCTGTCTCTTGAGAAACATAACCCAATATTTCACCATAGTGTGGGCTATATGTAACAACATCCTTTCAAAATTATAATGTGGAAAATGGATAAAAAAGATACATTTTTACATTTAATTAAAATATTATTATATCATTTTCCTTCCAATCCCTGCCATGTTCCCTTTTCCCTCTCAAATTCATGGCCTGTTTTTATTGTTCTAAGAGCTATGGGCAATTAATAACTGCTGAGAGAAAGAGAATTAATCTTCTCCAGCGATGAGCCTCCTAATTGGTTATCCAATACCAAATGGTTAGCCTTAAAAAGGTACACTTTTATCAAATGAACACGGCATAGCAATATTCAATAAGACTAGGCTTAATCCCTCATATGAAGGCTGGATGAGGCAACCCAGTAGGGGGAAAAAGGTCCCATGATCAGAGGAGGGCTGCTCTTTTCTGAAGGGAAATGGAGGAACAGCGAATCTGAGGGATAGAGGAGATAGAGGGGGCTGGGAGGGGAGGACAGGAGGCTGCAGCTGGGATGTATTGTATGAAAGAAGAACAATTTTTTAAAAAAGAAATAAAAGATTCAGATGATGAAAAAAAGATACACTTTTAAATGGCCTACCTTAAGTGGACCATCAGGTGATAATAATGGTCTGTAGTAAGTTGTATAGTATAGACTGTGTACTATATAATTAAACTAGCATTTCACACCTGCAATTCCTCTAAAAAATACTCAAATTTTAATATAGGAATATCCTATAATATACCAGGTCAGTCATCCTCAAAACTGGTTGTCAGATCATTTAAAACAAGTATCTTCTGAAAACTCATCCCAACCAAGAGAAAACTGAAGAGATGTGACAGCTAAATACAGTGTTGCCATCCCAGATGAGAGTCTAGTAATCGTGAACTTCAATCAGTGATGACGTCAGTAATCACTCGCTAGTTGTAGCAACCACTTTTGCTTATAAAGATGGTCATATAGGGGACAGTGTATGTATATGTGGGGTTAGAATGATATCTTTATATCACATGAAATCATCTATAAATTTTAAAATGTTCTGAGGAGTCTATTGAAGCTTTAAGTGATTTGTATTCATGATACAAGGTTTCATCATTTTCTTCAAATTATATGTGTGTATGTGTTTTAAGATTTCTTTATTTATTATATATATACCGCTCTGCCTGCATGTATGTCTGCAGGCCAGAAGAGGGCACCATATCTCATTACAGATGGTTGTGAAACACCATGTGGTTTCTGGGAATTAAACTCAGGACCTCTGGGAGAGCAGCTAGTGCCCTTAACCTCTGAGTCATCTCTCCAGACCCATATATACATATATCCATACACACACACACACACACACACACACACACACACACACACACACATACACACACACACACACACACACACACATATATATATATATATATATATATATATATATATCAACCATATATATATGTGGTTGATATATTGAGCACCCCGATAAAATTATGTGGGGGTCAGAGAACAGAATAACCACTATATTAAACATAGGTTTAGGTAGTGGTAGCACACGCCTTTAATCCCAGTATTCTGGAGGCAGAGATCCATCCGCATCTCTGTGAGTTCAAGGCCACACTGGAAACAGTCAGGCATGGTGACACACACCTTTAATCTCAGGAAATGATGGCAGGAAGCAGAAGGGTATATAAGGCATGAGGACTAGGAACTAGAGGCTTTTAAGCTTTTAGGCTTTTAGCAGCAATTCAGCTAAGATCAATTCTGATGAGGATTCAGAGGATTTCAGTCTGAGGAAACAGGATCGGCAGAGAAGTTGGTGAGGTGGGTCAGCTGTGGCTTGTTCTGCTTCTCTGATCTTTTAGAACTCACCCCAATACCTGGTTCCCGGGTTTGTTTTTATTAATAAGACCTTTTAAGATTTGTGATATATATATATATATATATATATATATATATATATATATATATATATATATATATATATATATATATATATATATATATATGGTGGGAAACAGCAAGTGTGTAGAGACTGTTCAGAAAGAAGCAGAAGCTAGAAAAATCTAAGAACAATAGAACCCTTTTCACAAACAAGACTTGTGTAGGCAAATGGAGACATACATATCAGACTTTCTGGTCTGATATAGATGTACATGTGGACTCCATGTCTCAGTACGTGCCACCTGGGAATCTATTAGAAATATCACACATTTCAGGCAGACATCCCCTACTCAAGTGCAGGCCACAGCAGCCAGAAGAACTAGAAGGCATATTCAGGCAGAGACTCAATTGCTGGACCAGAGGCCACTCGGCCACCAGAACTCCAGATAGACCTCCTGCCCAGGACTTTCTCCACTCTCTTAGTGCGCCCCAGACACTACCCCCAATTGCCTCTCCCCTAGTCACAATGTCCCAGACCTCAATTCAGATGGAGAGCCCATGCTCAACAAGAGGCCAGGCCAGCTGCCAGAAGTCCAGTCCTCAGCTTGGGAGAAGAACCTCTGTTCAACCATAGGCCACACAGAACAAAAGACCAAAAAGGACAGAGAAACCAAAAAATAAAACACCCACCAAAGAAAAACTTGACACCTAATAATAAAATCACCCCAAACCCAGATGCCTTGATGCCAGGCTAAGAATATAATCAACAACAGCCACAGTGATATGCCACCATCAGAGCCCAGCTGTCCTACTACAGCAAGCCCCGAATATCCCAACACAGCCAAAGTACAAGAAAAAGACCTTAAACCAACTTTATAGAGGTGATAGAGGGCCTTAAAGAGGAAAATGAATGAACCCCTTAAAGAAATCAAGGAAAACACAAACAAAAAATTGGAGGAAATGAATAAATCCCATAAAGAAAGCCAAGAAAAAGCAAACAGTTGAAGGAAATGAATAAAACTGATCAAGACCTGAACATGGAAATAGAAGCAATAAAGAAAAAACAAAATGAAGGAATTCTGGAAATGGAAAATCTAGGTAAGTGAACGGAAGCTACAGATGCAAACATAACCAAGAGAATACAAGAGAGAGAAGGGAGGATCTCAGGCATTCAAGATACGACAGAAGAAATAGATACTTCAGCCAAAAAATATTAAATCTAAAAAATTTCTGACACAAAAAAGCCAGGAAATCTTGGACTGTATAAGGAGATCAAACATAAATATAATAGGAATAGAACAAGGAGAAGAATCTCATCTGGAAGGCCAAGAAAATATTTTCAACAAAATCATACAAGAAAATTGTCCTAATCTGAAGAAGGAGATGCCTATAAAGGTACAAGAAGCATACAGAACACCAAATAAATTGAACCAGAAAAGAAAGTCCCCATACCACATAATAATGAAAACACTAAGCATATAGAACAAATAAAAATTATTAAAGACTGCAAGGGGAAAAGACCAAGTAACATATAAAGGCATACCTATTAGAATTACACCTGACTTCTCAGTGAAAACTATAAAAGCCAGAAGGACATGGACAGATGCACTGCAGACTGTAAGAGACCATAGATGCCAGCCCTTACTACAATAGCAAAACTTTCAATCAGCATAGATGAAGATATATTTCATGATAAATTCAAATTCAAACAATATCTATTCACAAATCTAGCCCTACAGAAAGTACTAGAAAACTCCAACCCAAGGATGTTAACAACACCTATGAAAACACAGGAAATAAATAATCTCACATCAGCAAAACCAAAAGAAGGGAAGCACACACTTATACACACACCACTACCAATTATAACATCAACAACAAAATAACAGGAATTAAAAATCATTGGTCATTGATATCTCTCAATATCAATGGATTCTATTCCCTAAGAAAAAACACACAGACCAACAGAATGGAAGCAAAACCAGGATCCAGCCTTCTGCTGCATATAAAAAACAACCTCAATATCAAAGATAGACATTACCTCAGAGTAAAGGGTTGGAAAAAGATATTCCAAGCAAATGAACATAAGAAACATCCTGGAGTAAGCATTCTAATGTCTAACAAAATAGATTTCAAACCAAAATTAATCAAAAAAGACTGGGAGGGGCACTTCATACTCATCAAAGGAAAATCCACCAAGATGACATTTCAATTCTTAACATCTATGCTCCAAATGCAAGGACACCCAAGTTTTTAACAGAAACACTACTAAAGCATAAATCACACATTTATCCTCACACATTGATAGTGAGAGGCTGCAATAACCCACTCTCACCAACAGATAGGTCATCCAGACAAAAACTGAACAGAGAAATATTGGAGCTAACACACATTATGAACCAAATGGAGCTAACAGACATCTACAGAACATTTTCACCCAAACACAAAAGAATAAACCTTCTTGTCAGAGCATCACAGAACCTTCTCCAAAGTTGACCACATACTGGGTCACAAAGCAAGTTTTAACAGATACAAAAAATATAGAACAACCCCATGCATCCTATCAGACCACCACAGATTAAAACTGGATTTAATCAGCAATAGAAATAAAGGAAAGCTTACAAATTCATAGAAACTGAACAGCTCTCTACTGAATGACTGATGGATCAGGCAGAAATAAAGTAAGAAATTAAAGACTTTGTAGAATTCAATTATAATGAATACACAACATACCTAAAACTATGGAACACAATGAAAGCAGCGCTAAGAGGAAAGTTCATAGTACTAACTGCCTAAATTAAAAAATTGGGGAGATCTTATGGTGATATTTTATTTGTACTGAAATGTGATATTATTTGTATATTAATAAATAAAGTTGCCTGGGGGTCAGAGCTAATAGCAAGCCATAGCACAAGCTGGGCGGTGGTGGTGCACGCCTTTAATCCCAGCACTTCTGAGGCAGAGCTAGGCGGATCTCTGTGTGTTCAAAGATACAGCCAGCATGGAGACACATGCCTTTAATCTCAATACCAACCATAGAAGACCTGGAGGTCTGTACAGATAGGCAGTGATGAGGAGGTCATGTGGTTGGGTTTACAACCAACGAGAAGGCAGAACAGAAAGTCAGTAAAAGGGGGGAAGGACAGCAGTTGCAGTGAAGGGTAAAAAAGGATTTTTATCTCTTAGCTATTGCTCTGACCTCTTGTGCTTTTATCTCTGCAATTGGCTCTGTGTTTCTTATTTAATAAGACTGTTCATCTATAAGACTCATACTAGGAACTTAACAGCACACCTGAAAGCTCTAGAACAAAAAGAAGCAAACACACTCAAGAGGAGTAGACAACAGGAAATAATAAAACTGGGGGTTAAAATCAATAAAATAGAAACAAAGAGAATAATCAAAGAGTCAATAAAACAGTCAAACGTTAGACGGAGCTTTTGGAACCCCTCAGAAGAAGGGAAGGAAGGATCGTAGGAGGCAGAGAGGTTAAGGATACCAGACTGTATACACGTTATGGTTGTGTAGCTTGATGTTCTTGTGGGACTTCCAACAGTGGGAGTGGGGGTGTCTCTGACTCTTTCACCTGCCCTTGGGACCTTTTGGGTTGCCTTGGTCAGCCTTGACATGAGGGTTTGTGTCTAGTCTTACTGTAACTTGTCATGCTATGTTCAGTTGATATGCCTGAGAGACATGATCATTTTTGGAAGGAAATGGAGGAAGAGTGGATCTGATGGGTAGGGGAGGTGGGGAAGAGAACTGGAGGAATGCAGAGAGGAAAAACTGCAGTTGTGATGTAATGTATGAGAGAAGAAAATCAGAAAGAAAGGAGGGAAGATGGGAGGGAGGGAGGGAAGAAGAGCGGGAGGAAGGAAGACCTATGCGGAACCATTACACTCTAGCCAGCAGCCAAACTCTTAGGCACATTAATTCCTACCTTCTATGGGTGAATCGTCTTTTGTGCAGCTCAATTCTGTGTAAGTTAGATCGTTTTTAGCTTTTTTTTCTTCAAGAAGTTGAGAGTACTTTTGATAAAAAACTGTAAAACAAACAACAAATACTCAAAAAACAGAACCCAAATCACTCAATTTCATGAAACAATTGTCGCTTTCTACTTTCTCCTTACTGATACACAGATCTATTAATTCCTGATCACTTAAGTAGACAGAGCCTGTCTACAATTCCCATCACCCCACAGTCAAAGCAGTCCTTAGTCTCCTATTTTGAAACCACAGGTACTTCCAGGACTCAAGAAAGACTAGTGACTTGAAAGGCAGGACAAACCCACTGTCATGACTTTAAAGAGAATGAACCATACCCTTCCATGTTAACATAAGATGAAAATGCTAACTCTTGGGGGAGATGAAACAGACATAGATATTCATATTTGAGAATGTAAACTGTCTTGGCTTTGGGAGGAAAGGGGGTTAACTAATTCTGAGAAGCTCTAGGTTATTTTAAAATGTGAAATAAAAAAGAACTCAACATGCATCTGTGGAGCATTGTTTTGTTTCTCAAACCCTCTTCCTTTCGACCAGATTACTCCTCCATGCACACGCTCACTCTCTCCCAGTTTACAGCTGACTGGCTTCTCTCTAGAACTGAATTTCTTCACTTTCCTCCCTGAGGCTTTTCACCTTATCCCACTACTTTGGCTTCCTCCATTTCACTCACACCAGGTTTGAAATGGATCATCAATAATACCCCAGGATAATTAGTTAGCTGTCTTGCTATTGGACTTGACCCAGTTCTCTTCCTCCTCAGCTCTTAAGACATTGCTCTGTCCTGGATTTGCATCACCCCTTTTTGACGTCACTTCTTGTTGTCTTTTATAATCTCTTCTCCCTCCATCCACCCTTTAAAATGTAACACTTCCTACAGTCTTGTCACGATGCTTGCTCCTCATACAAACTATCCCCGAGTGATGCCATATATTGCTATGGTCTTGCCTGCTGCCTGTATGTGCAGGATTTTGTGCTCACTAAACATAAACATATTAGGTTCGCCTCAATATGCCCAAAACTCAAATCAACACCTGCCAACTTAAACCTATAACTTATCCTAGATTGTCTACCTCTTTGAATAACTTCATGGTTGCTGAGTTTACATCATCAGAATATTAAAGTCACACTGTACTTTTTGAATCCCTTAATCCCTGGATCTCTATATTCATCAGCATCTACTTCCTTGGTGTTGTGCTCTTTACCATTCAAAGTCACCTCCTCTCATGTTCTTCAGACACTTATCTCATCATCAGGTTCGAAACAGGCCTTCTCATTTCTCTTATTGTCCTAGTGACTCTGTTTTCTGAGTCCTGCAAAAGCGCCATCTATAATCTAAGTTCACATACATCAATTCTCTATTTGAAATGTTGCAATGGTTCTCCATGGCTGTGATGCCTTCCAAAAAAATGACCACAACTTTTAAATTCTGTATCCACAACCATTACAACGTGATTTTGAAACTTCCCTGGTTAACAAAAGGAAAAAGCAAAACAGTAAAGTCTTCTGTGTGAGCTGCCTCCTAGACTTCCTTTGTCCAAGAGAATGTGCAAAATCAACTCTGATCTACTATTAAGTTAAATTTTTTAAAAGATTTATATATTTATTATATATACAGTGTTCTGGCTACATGTATGCCTGCAGACCAGAAGAGGGGACCAGATCTCATTACAGATGTTTGTGAGTCACCATGTGGTTTATGGGAATTGAACTCAGGCCCTCTGGAAGAGTAGCCAGTGCTCTTAACCTTTGAGCTATCTCTCCAGTCCTCGTGTTAAATTTTTGAAGAGAACTGGCTCATGGTCACCCTCAATCTTGGAAGTCTGCAAGCTGCTGTGTAAACAAGCCAGGGCATTCTAAGGTATTATATGAAGGTGGGTCATATTGTTAGTCATTCTAGCTGGCTGCCTCTTCTTGGGAGCTGAGGTGCCTGGACTGGTAACTGACCACATACACATGTCTAAGTTCAGCTAGGACCAGAGAAGCCACTGAGTGGAGATCAACCTAAACTGAAAAACCATAGAAGCATAATATAAGTAAGACATTGTCTTAGCTTCTTAAGTTGATGCTTGTTTACTAAGCAGAAAACCATACTTGATTAAAAAAACAATATTTAGAAGAAAGAACTAAGTTTTTCATAACGGGGCACAACACAAGCTCTGCATGCCGCTATGTCTACCTAGGGAAACGCCATTTCTTCTTCACTTAGAACTGTGTACTTCAGCCATTCATGCTTCTGTGTCTCACTTCTGTGACATTCTTGGTGCACACAGTTCTAGACATAGCCTCTTCTAGGAAATCTGTGTCAGCACAAGACTTCCTGGACAATGTTGTAGACACTGGCCCATTTTTTCTTCATTTTTTAAGACATAGATGTGTACATAGTCCAGGCTAGATCCTCACTTCCTGTCTTCCTCTCTCAACATCCTGAGTAGCCACTGTACCTGGCTGGCACTGATTCATTCACTCTCCCCTAAGATTCTTGAGAACAGAGCCCATGTTCTTCCTGGACTCTGTCTGACACATCGTATGACACACAGTAAATGGCTACTACTTGGTTAAAATGAATGAGTAAAACACTCTAAATACACTAGTTTGCATGATTTTAAATTTTTCAGAAAATTTCAAAACTTTGATGAGCAGAAATTTGCTCACACACATTTGCTCAGATGGCTTCTAGATTTCACATTATCCTGGTATGACAGAAGCAACTAGGAATTAGCTCAAGAACATTCTTGGATAATTTCTTCTTAACTCCTCTTATCCACAAGCTTATCCTAAGATGAAGGAGCCCTATACACACACAGCTTGTATACACATACAGCTTGATTTCTCAATACAAATGAGAAAAATTAGAAAAAAAATAGATATGTCCTCCCAGTCTAACAAAGACAACACTCCAGAGTTCACTCCACAAGTCCACATAAACACACTTCAGTTTCTCTAATGAGAATGGATTTCATTTTTTCCAAGATAACAGCTAAATCCAAGGACAAAGTAAAAGACACAATGTAACCCCTTGAATTATTTTCCCCAAACATCATTTCTTCCCCATACTCTGTGAAACGCCAGTGCTACAGCAGACCCTCTCTTCACCTGAGGCAGACATGTTAATTCATCGGGGATACGTACAGATAAAAGCAGCCAAGAAAGCGATGGCCAACAGCAGGGAAACTGCCATCAGTGATGTGAAGAGCAGCGAGGGACGACCAGGCTTACTTAGAGGAAGGGTGGGCTTCTCTTTGGGAGCTGGAAGGAGAGCACAGTCACCTCATGAGTGATAAGTTTCACCCTTGTTTCTGCTTTTCCTCCCCGTCACCCTATTCTCCATGTCACATAATCACTAATAGTGTGACCATTTGAAATAATGGAAAAATAACGTCCATTGTAAAAAACATTACCAAATACATAAAAGAACACACACTACTGAAATAACTGGTATTAATATTTTGAGATCTGAAAAATAATTTGAATATATATCCACAAAAACTCTTTGATCAAATCCTTTCAGCAAGTTCTCTTTGGTGGTGGGAGGTATAATGGGGTAGGATCTCACTATGTAGTCCAGGCTGGCCTCAAATCCTCGGTGATCTTCCTGCCTCTGCCTCCAGAGTGCTGGAATTACACCACACTGGCCCTTTCAGCAAATTTTAAAGGATGTACATATAGTATGTTTTCCCACATGGCAACACAGCGTAAGTACTGCCATCTGCCTGTGACTTTCCTTTTACACTGTCTTGTAGGTACATTTTCACGTCACCATGTTTTCTTGGTGTTCTTTACTGTGGTTTCAGCACTACATATTATAATACCTTCCAGACTGTCCAAACATTAAAGACACGTATACAATAAAAGGTAAATATTTCCAGTCATATTCCACTTCTTTAGCATATGGTCAGTCCGCTAGTCACTGTCTCATGGCTGGAAACCATTTTCTAGATGAAGGTAAATTTAGTGGAGAGCACCTGCCAACCGAGGGAGAGGCTCTGCTTTGATCTATACTATAAAAGAAAAAGTTCCTTCAAGATAAAAGCTCCACACAGAAACAGTTTTCATAAAGTTACAATATACTGCCAAAATAGAGGGGAAAATCTCAATAGTGAAAAGTATGATTTCATTTTATATTCATTTTTATAAAGCAGGAAATGTTATATACAAGATATATATACAAGAATGCAGGATACAAGGTATAGTTTCTGTAAATGGCAAGAGCAAAAAACATGGAAGCAAGCTTTTCTTTCCCACTAGAAAACTCTACAACCCTTAAAGTCACTCTACAAACAATTCAATCCCCTGCGACTCCAATAAAATCCCAGACATGAGCGCTGAGAAGATTAGTAACCAGCATCACCCAAAGTTTATTAATGACTTTTCCTTTATCCTTTCCCCTACATTAAGTCTAGAATTTTTTTTTACCTGTAGCAGAATCTGAATAGATGCCTGAGGAGTTGGATTCATTCTTGAACTTCACTTCTGCATAGGTGATTTCTGAAGCCATATCAAGAAGAGTGAGACCTGCCTTACTCAGAAAACGCACCCTGTCTCCTCCCTAAAACTTGTGGTATGTGAAAACCAAACACGGCGATAAATTGTCATATCACACAATTATATATGAGAAGAGGTATTTCCAGATGTGATATACCACATGAGAATGAGAAACCACAACAAGGAATCACTCAGGTCACATACAGAGATGCAACATCTTCAAACACCAAAGTAAGAATTGTAGCATTTGGACCTACTCAGCAAGATATGCAAATACTATAAAGTGGGAACTCAAAGGGGGAAGGAAAGAAATAGGAAGGAGGGGAGAAGAGGAACCACACTGTGAGAAAACTCTGTCCTAAGACATTCTGCAACAAACATAAATTCATGTGCTTCTGTAGGTAAACGTGGTTTCAGACAAACCGGACAACATTAGCAAACACTTAAGGCACGACAACATCCATTTTGACTGAACAGCCAAGTTCTGACACCACATTCTAGAGGACCATTGGCCCCTCACTATTGTGTGCCCCCCCTTCCCACTCAGCTGCCTCCTGCAGGGGAAGGCAAAGTTCACATCCTGGTCCTTCTGAAGCTGCTCCTCTGAGCTCTCTGCTTCCCACTGTCTTCATAACTCACTCATGGGCACTCTCCACTCACTGGGCCTCTGACCACATCCTGACACAGCTCTGGTTAGCAGCTGTGAGAGGAGGCTGTCTCTCTCCTCATGCCTCTCTTCCTTTGATCCCTGCACTGCTCAGCAGGAGCTTCCCGGATTCACAGCACTGTTGGGAACAGTTGGGAGAATTAATGGATCACAATATACCAGAGGGGAACTTAAACTAGTTACTAAAAATGGGATCATTTGAGTTCCTCCCGCAGACATCCTCCAGCTCACAGCCACATGTTCAGCCTTCAGCTCCTCCAAATATATCCCTTCTTGACATCTCCTCTTGTGCCTACAAATAAACAAGCAGTACATGCATGAACACACACACAAACACACACACTTAGTGTGTGTTTCTAGGTTTTCTCTCCAGTTTGTATCCAAACACACTAAAAACCATAAGTGCACATTATTATCCCCATTTTAATGAATATTGTTGCAGATTTCCTTTTATTTCCCAAATCCAGCATTTCTAACCTACGTCTGTGACTGGAAAAAAAAAAAAAAACTATGTTCATTATCTCTATTGCAGGCTCTCAAATGATACCCTCTTGAATGCTGCCCATCACCCTCCCACGTTCTCCACTATGATGGATCCTCCAGCCCTCAGGTCAAACCTTTGTCCCCTGAACTGATACCATCCTCCCTTTAGCTGGATGTTCCCTCTCAGGGCCAGACACCTTGCTGAAGTTCTCATGTTACGACTAAGGAAGGCTCCTTCACCAGGCTTGTGTGCTGACTCCTGGTTGCTAATCCCTGAGGAGTCTCCACTTTCCCCTGAGGCTTTAGCACCCCACCTAGGTCACCTTCATGTGTAGAAGCCCTCATCACCCTGGAAAGTACTGAGTGGCCACACAGAGCTATCCCACCAGGTAGACAACATCCTTACCTTGCCAGTCTCTGAAACCCATACCAGCTCTGCCTTCTGCACAGACACTCTCCTCAGCCTATTTGACCACTACACCCAATGCCAGGACATCCACAACCAGGCAAGGATGCTCTCCTCACCCTACTAGACAGTAAGGTCCCATGTTGACATCCAGCATAGAGACACTCTTTACCCATGTCTGGTCTACCCTCTGCAAGGAAGCTCCTCTCAACATTCTATGTCTCTTCCAACTCAGTATGGAGCCAACACTATGCACCTGTGCCCTCTCACACTGCACGGGTACCCTCCTCACCAAGCCCAATGCCCTCCTCCCCATGCATGGGTGCCCTCTTCACCTCTCCAAATGCCCAGTTCCTCCATCAGAACACTCTCCTCCCCTATTTGCAGTTCTGACTCCCCACAGAAAGTGACCTAGTGAGTTGATACTCTCCTCACCATGCTGGAGCACAGACTCCCTACAAGTGACCATTCCACAGCACAGCTGCCCTCCTCACCTCTCAGGCTCTGACGTCTCACACCAGACTGCTGCTTGGAGACTCTCTCCTGAATCCAGACACTTTCTCACCAGCATGCTGACATCCGCTCTCTTCTTGGGTTCCAATTCTGTTGTCAGGCCAGCCCTCAGCACGGTCACCCAGACCCTGGGCCAGACCATTTCTGCCCCACACCTGACCCTTCCACAGACACCTGCCTTGCCCTCCCTACACCATTCTTTATTCGGTAAGTTACTAAGTAACAGAGGTACTGCAAGGATGGAAACCAGATATGACAGAATATGAACTCTTGTGTAATAAATCTATCAAGTATTTCTATGGTGATAAGTATGCCTACACACCACTTCACTGCAGTCACAGATGTTCAGGGGTTTTCCCCTCTCAGCAAAATACATTTCTAAGTTATCATATCCCACATACACTAGAATAAGTCATAGACAATATAAATATTCAGATGGCTTGCAATAACAACTATTTCTCATTTGTGTATGTTCTTAGGGTCTAGTTGTGGGTCACAGTAATTCAGCTGGCTTCTTTCCACATTTATCATTTTGGAGCCAGATCATGGAGAAAATATCTCCTTGTAAGGTGAACATGTAATAAACTCCTGCATTTAGCAAATCAGATTCATTTTCATCTATTGGCCAATGAAAATCACCTGAACAAATCTGCCAATTGGGATTGAAAACATACTTTATATATTGCCGGGCAGTAGTGGTACAGGCTTTAATCCCAGCACCTGTGAGGCAGAGGCAGCCAGATCTCTGTGAGTTCTAGAACAGCCTGGTCCTCAGCACTAGTTCCAGGACAACCAAGGCTGTTACACAGTGAAACCCTGTCTTTAAAAACAAACAAAAATCTTGAGTATATTACACTCTGTATACACTGCAACTGAGAAAGATTGTCTGTCTGTCTCTCTCTCTCTCTCATACACACACACACACACACACACACACACACACACACACACACACACACTTATGAAAACACTTGAGGGACTATAGAAATGGCTCAGTGGTTAAAAGTGTGTACTGCTCTCACAGAGGACTGGAGTTCACTTCCCAGCACCCATGACCTGTAGCTCACAACCACATCTAACTCCATTTGCAGGGATCTGACACCCTCTTCTGCCTCTGCAGGCACTGCATTCACGTACACAATCCACACACAAGCATGTGCATGTATACATATTTTAATTAAAAATAAAAATCTTAAACACATAATTGAGCATGACTCCCTGGAGATGCTCACATTCACACCATCAGATTTGCTTTATTCTTTCTGGAGCTCCTTTCTGTTTCTAATAAAATTCTGTTCAGCCCAGTATTGCCTCTCCCTCCCTGAAACTCTACTTCATTGACACTAGGCTGCCACACTTCCCAATTATGCCTGATTGGAGACCGCTAAAAAAAAAAAAATCTCCACAGGCAGCTGGTACTGAGTGTGGGGTAGAAAGTCATGTCCCATAGTGCCCCTCGTTGAAGGATCTACCTGAGAATCTTGTTGGAAATGCTGATACTAGGCATGTGTAGTATTACATTACAAGAGTGAATGCCATTTTGCATGCTCCAATTCTGTATTATTCAGTTCTTTTTTATTGCTTTTTCTTACAAAAGTTGAGAAGATTTTTAAACAATGTTGTAAAACAAAATTAAAAAAATCTCATTTTCCCAATAGTACTAAGACTTGATTTTTTATTTTACCATATTACATTCTTTGTAGAAACAAAACCTATATATGTCCAATTACCTGAGTAGTTAGAGCCTACCTGAGAAAGTTTCCCCATTACTTTAGACTGGGTGTGGTGGCTGTGGCCCTAGAACATGGGAAATAGAATGAGGAAGAACAGAAATTTCAGGTCGTTCTTAACTATACAAGTTAGTGTAACTGGTTTTTTAGTTAGTTCATGGCTAGCCTGAGCTACATGAGACCCTACCACAAAGAAAGACAATTTTCCATCACCCCACAGCTAGTATTACGAATCTCCTAGTGATTTATGACCACAGATATTTTCAGGAAGAGCTGGAAGGACAGGACAGAACCATGACCTTGGGGACTCTTCAATATTTAATGAAGGACACCCTGAAGACTATATCTTAGGTGATAAGTTCTATTAAGTATGTGAGCACCCAAGGAAAGGTGAGGGAGAAATGAGCTAATCCAGAGCAGTTCCAGGTGACCTGAGTGTGGTGATATTGTGTTCCCCAAAATATTGTGCACCCTAATAAACTTATCTGGGGTAAGAGAACAGAACAGCCACTAGATATAGAAGCCAGAAAATGGTGGCACGCACACCTTTAATCCTAGCATTCCAGAAGCAGAGATCCTTCTGGATCTCTGTGAGTTCAAAGCCACACTGGAAACAGCTAGGCCTGGGAACAAGAGCCTTTAATCCCAGGAAGTGATGGCAGGAAGCAGAAAGGTATTTAAAGTATAAGGATGAGGAACTAGATACTGGTTAAACTTTTAGGCTTTTAGCAGCAGTCAGCTGAGATTCATTCAGATGAGGACTCAGAGGCTTCCAATCTGAGGAAACAGGATCAGCTGAGGAATTGGCAAGGTGAGGAAGCTGCAGCTCTTTCTGCTTCTCTGATCTTCCAGCATTCACTCCAATACCAGGCCCTGGGTTTGTTTTTACTAAGAACTTTTAAGATTCATGCTACACCTGAGCACAGAAGTTATAAAAGAGCCTGACACTGCTCAAAAGGACTTTGTTTTCATCCTCTTCTTTCCTGTATCTCCCTCCACCCCAGCTGGCTCTGACTTCTCAGTGTCCCTACATGTTCATGTAAATCCTAACTTAAATCTAACTCACCTTTCCTCTAGAAATTGAATGTTCTTTCTTCTCTTCCTCATCTCCCACTTGTTCCTGGAGTCTCTAGATTCTGGCTTTCCCTTCTGCTCATTTACCAAACCGTGTTAGAAATGGACCATCAGCAGCTCCTCCTGTACACTGATCAGTCGTCTTTGATGAGACTTTGCACATAACAAAAGCCTGCTGGTTCCCTTCCTCCTAACTGTTGGGAAACAGTGGCTCCCTCACTTTTGCCTGGTCCTGCTTGCTGCTGTTTCCTGTGCTCTCTGCTTCACGTTTCCTTCCACACCCACCTCTCTCAAACGGAAAATTGCACCCAGTTCCATCTTTCTCTTCTCTTTCTCCTCCAGTTCCTCTTCCTTAGTGATATTCATGGTTCTGGGTTGTTGGGTGGTGGGAGTGTTTGTTTTGTTTTTTAGTCCAGTTTTGTTATCTGCTGCAAAGGTCTTCTAAAATGTGTGCCTCTATCCTAAAACATGTGAGTGTGCATCCAAGTAAATTTGTGCATCTAAGATTTAGGTGAACATAAACAAAACTTCTATCTTCATATTCCAAACCAAAACTGCTACTCATCTTCTTCCTCTTCAAATACCTTCATAACTGATAACTTTATGAAATCAGAATATTAAAGTCATACCTCACTCCTCTGTGTCTCCTAGTCTCAGCTATCAATATTGATCAAAATGGCACCTCCTTTTGTCCAAGTTATCTCCTCTCCTGTGCATCACTAGCATGATCCTTGGATCAAACCCCTAGTGCTGCTCAGATGGATTCTGAAGCTTCCTAATTTCTGCTTCCCTTCATTTTCACACCTCTGTAAGAGCACACTTGTCTAAGTTTTAATTTTATCACGTCCTGCTTCAGATTCATCAGGGGATCTCCATTTGCACATTGTAAAGCTGGACACACTTCTCCACCTTCCCTATATGAATATCCATTTAGACTATACCTTTCCAGGTCCCTACTCAAGAGACTGGTCTATGTCTACATCACCTCATCTTAGCTGCCTTTAAGAGTTCTTTGGCCA